GCACTGATCACCATGCCAACATATTTGTGTGAGAAAAGCCAAATTAGGTTTGACCATATCTCTCACTTGAAGCATAATTATTTATTTTCAGATAAACAAAGACCACCAAGAAATGGAGGCAGAATGGCAGCTGCAGCCTACAGACAGAGAAAACAGACTCAATAGAGCCATAATAAAGAAAGAAAGTCCCTCACCTGTTGCTGCACCACAACAACTGGGTCCTCTAGTAAACCAGACACCAAGAAAAAAAAAGCACTATAACTGACAAACAACTGCCTTTTTGGCAATAGAAAATACAATGTTTGACATTTATGTTTTTAGTAAAAGTATAGAGGTTATGGAAAAACAAGATTAATGTTATTGGAGATGTCCTTATTTAGTGGAACTCAATTGTCATGTGTAGTACGTGTCTGTTCAGTTTGATGTTAGGTCATGCTGCCCTCCAAGTGATACAGCCTCCCAGTTATGTCAAGACTGGAGGGGCTATTATGTCTTTATGATAAGCTTTGTTCAAATGAGCTCTCTTTGACAATCCAAGGCTTTCAGATTCTACCGCTTTGAATTTCTCATCCATGAGATGTTTAGTTTGACATTTCTTTTGAACTGAATTGATCAAAAATCAACAAGCTGGATCTTCTTGTATCCCTTATTTTTTTTGCCATGCAATGTGAGGTTTAATGGCAGTAAACAATCTATGTAAAATCTGCTTTGAAGCAGGAAACTAATGAGTTTCTCATTCAGTTTAAACCATCACAGAGTGAAGTTCTCCTTTTGGCAGTTTTACTGCTCAGTTGATAACAGTAAAATAAACAGAGGACCTCCCTGGAGATTATAGCCCCATGTGACAGATACACTTTACTGGCACCTTTGTATTGAACACTTTTTGAATTCACCTGAATGTCACAATGATTTATCTAAGAAAACCTGCTGATCTGTGTCACAGAGCAGTCCTTGTGCAAACAGGTCTACATCATTAGATACCAGCATATCATTAGATACCCACTGGATGGAAATCCAGTTCTGTGTTTGTTCTCCAGGGTCTCAATTGGTTTAATGTGTCAGAGCAAAGAGACACCTTCAGTGAGATGGAGGTTGGGCCAACAAGAACGATGACCCGTTAAAATGTTAGTGCAAAGTTAAAAAAAAAATCCTAAACTTTGTTGTGCTTAATATTCCTGATTCAAAACAAAACAATAAAAACACCGCTTGAACACTGACTCAATTGAAACAATTATATTTTAAAATAGATTCTGCTCAAAATGGTGTGTATAAGTTTTATTTGCAGCGTCGGTAATTACCATCCCCCTTTCAGAAATGGCGCCACATTCTCAGATTTGACATTTAAATCAACACTGATAAACTAGATATTAGAGCATTAGTTTTCAAGAGTATCAGAATCAGAATAATAAGCTTTATTATCATTGTACGGAAATACAGTGCGATTATGTTCATACAGTCATCCGAAAGATGGGCAGAGTGAACGTTGCTGCTGCCCCTAATAGCGCAGCCCCTTATTCGTTTTATATAGGAAAAAGGGAAAAGGTCAATAGGAGAGGATAGTGTTATTACAAAAAAAGATCTCTTCACATCTTATCCTTATCAGGACATGATTTAAGACATCAAAAAACTCTACCAATAAGCACATTTATAAAACACATTATATATGCATTTGATGAGAAGACGGTGAGATTTGTCCCTGAAGCACTTCCAGAAAGCCCATAGTCCTGTTAAGATGTTGGTGTCAGTTGGTACAATTCTGATAAGCATGCACAGAGCTTTTTCAGTTTACACATATCCCAGGAGAAATTTGATAAGTCTGCCTACTTCGAGGCCAAACGGGGGAAGTCAGATTCAGATAAGCCACAGTTGTTAATTTTTTCAGGCAGACTGTTATTTCTCATCAGCCTTGAGTTCTGCTGGTACTTTTAATCCAATATAGCCAGATTTGTGGGCATTCCACTGGCTCGTGCTTATTAGCTCCCTCCAAGGTCGTCCCCAACATGCTGGCGAGCCCCAGAAGCCGCAAGTGGCCTGTGATTCTCACAAATCTTTTCCATCTTACAGTTTAGCTCATAAATCAGCTGATTTTGAGAGCTTGAAGCATGAACCAAACCTGCAGACAGGGTTGGTTCATGGCTGAAACTGCTGCCGCCGTCTTCTTTAATACCAGATAACATAGGTATCTGCTGGTGCCAAAAAGCAGAAATCCTGCTATCATGATTCTAATATATTCTGTGTCCTCCTGAGACAATACAGAAAGGCACATCAGATTCATGATGTATCCTGCCCTGTGCATCTCAGTGGGGCATGAGGGTTCTCTAGGACCATGTTGCTTTGCTGAAAAAATGTTATCGATTGCGCTGAAAGTCCAGCTGACCAGATCCATGGCTGTAGTTTATGTTTCAGAAGATGTGTAAATAGGAGCTCCGATACACAGACAGAGAGCAAAAAAGCAGGAGGATGGGAGAGGGAAGAAATGCGTCCATCTTGCATGAGAGCGACTGGTGAAAAAGAAGATATCAAGACAAACCCTGTGATTTGTGTTGTAGATAACTGTTCACCTCTGCACTGAAAACCTTTAGAGAAACCCACCAGATCAGGATTCAAACATGTACTAGAACAAATGGGTAACACTTTTCAATAAAGTACACAAAATTTGATTAACTACTAGGGAATGCCTCAGGAACGAATCAGGAGCTAGTAGGCAGTTAACCAGTACTTACTGGGGAACACACAGCCAAGCCTTATTAGGGGGCTACTGGTTAGTTACCTTGTAAATCAAGAGGAACTAATCAAGAACTAATGGGTTTTTACCAAGGAAATCAAAGAGGAACAAATCAGGAGCTCACAGTAGGTAATTGTCAGGTAGTGATTAAGTAATGATTGGTTCCTCAGTAAGTACTTGGTATGATGCTTCACTACATCAGTGAACATAATAATAGTCAGGCAATGATTTGGTACTCAGTAAGTGATAGTCAGACATACTGTAGTTAAGATGATAGCAGTACAAGATTATGAAATTGCTAATCAATGGTAAGAATCCAATAAAATCTGTAATCCCTAGGAAACAGGTTTTTGACAATTACGAGCTGTGACCTCACTGGTGCAGGGTTTATTCAGAACCCAAATGGAGAATTTCTCCTCCGTTTCTGTGGTAACAAACCAGCAGTCCCCTAATAAGGCTTGGCTGTGTGTTCCCCAGTAAGTATTAGTTAACTACCCATTAGCTCCTGGTTTGCTCTGGATTATCAAATTTTGTGTACCTTATTGTAAAGTGTAATCAAGAAAGGTTTCACAGGACATAATCATGTGTCCTTGTGGTGGCTTTCTAGCTGTGGAAAAATACATTGGTTTTTAGATGCTTTTTGAAAACTGGTTAAAACCAGCTTTAGCACCAGCCCTGATGTTACACTAGATCCACTTTAGCGGAAAAAGCCAATAGTAAACTGCAAGTAACACATTAATTTTGGCTTTAGGCAAATTGTTTAATTGACTAGTCTTTAAAGTGTGTACCATTAATTAAAAAATGTGCTTGAATGTGCTTCTATAAAATTTACACAGTTCAGTAGCATAACTTTTCTAATGGCATCTAGCTCAGCTGTCACTTTTGCATTCTTTCTCCAACGAGTAATCTTTTAAGAGGTTTCAGAGGGAGACTTTCCCTTCTACAAAGTTGTAAAACTCCTAAAATTAAAAAATCTGCACCTATCAGTGGAAAATACAAGAACCTTTAGAGCACTGCAAATAATTGCTCATTCATTAAACACTAAATCCTTTTAAATATTGCCAGTCCTGTTGTTTTGTTTTCCCCAAACTTAAATGTTATAGTTGATTTTTAGGCCTTTCATCATATCAAAAAACAAAAAAATGTCCTTTAACCTGATAATATGTAAGGAAAGACATGTTAAATATATAAACATAATGAAATCTGCATAGACAAGACATTATGGGAATGTTTTTACTGTGAGGTCATAGTGTTTTTGTTAAGCAGAGAGAGGGAGAAAAGGAATTAATCTGATGATCTGGTTTTGCTTCGGGATCCAAGCCATGCAACGTGAGCTGAACAAATCACAGCAATAAAGACCTCAGGCTCATTATCTCAACATCTGCAGGGTGTGGCAGCAGATTTAATTAATTAGCCAGCAAAATTAAACTTATTATTTAAGCCATCAAGGTTATTATAACCGTACTGCAGCTTAACTCTTGGCTGTAAAAAACAAACAAAAAAAAAACAAAACATGTATCTTGTTAGGATTTTAATGCTTTGATCTAAATCTGAAGTTTGGAAAATGTTTGTTTCCAGCACCATAATTTCTTGGCACAAATCAGCTACAGTTTAACAAGATTGAAAGTGTTAATTTATTTCAATATTATAAATTGTAAAGCCTTTTTGCTTTACCACAAGTGATACATTGTAACTACTGTATTTCTTCTAAATCCATAAAGTAGGTAGGAGATTGGATTTCAAAGTAAATAACTTTAGAATGACTACTGGATTTGAGAACTTTAGTCATTTAATGCAACAAGATCTACTACCTTGACCTCCATCACTGCAGTGCAAAGGCCTCCGGGCCTACGGTGACATCATACCATGTTCTTACTGTCACGCAACGGTTTCTGCATGAAGACCACTGAGATATCTAAACTTTTATAATCTGCTAATCATGTGCAATATAAGCTGATGCCTCAGACTAAAACTTTAAAAATATTTTCTACATTTAGTTTCATTATATCATATTTATTACAATGCATATAGTTGTAAATACGCTATTTAGATTAAAATAGGTTGACTCTGAAATATTAACACCCCATTTTTTTTTACTGTGCAGTCGGAGCAAACAGGCTTTGTCTCCTGACTGAGAAAATGGGATCATGTTATCCAGTTTAGTAAATATGGACCTGCTGGTTAGATTCAAGTCGGTTTTGAAGCTTTCTCATTTATTAATGTATAAGTGGTGCAACAAAATAAAACAAATTGATTTATTCTGATTTTCCCGCAGAAGTGACAGCCCAGGACGAGGGAGGAAGAGGACCACAAGATTCCATACGAGGTGACAATATTGTAAAGAAAACTGAAACTCCTGGTAAGATATCAAGCAATAAAGATCACTTTAGTTGAGCTGAAAAACAAACAGGTTATCAAGCGAGCAAAGTTTGTACATCTGAGCATGTTCAAATTGTTGTTGTGATGATTCATCTCAATAAAAAATATTAATATTTTTAATAATTCTCTTATTATATAATAAGAAAGCCCAGTCCAAGTGTCTCAACCATCACAAATTAAAAAAAAAGTTAAATCATGTCATCTGGACAGATTCTTTTTGGCTTGAACCACATCAATAAGGTGCTATTTATATGACAAGAGTTTGTTGGCAGGCCTCAAACTGATTGTTTTTCGGATGAAAGACGTAACGTTTCTTCCAAGAACAATCCATCCAGATGACAAGATTTAACTTTCTTTTTTTTGTGATTATTTTACCTGGATGATTGAGCTTACATCAGGCCTCAAATATCAGTATAGATCAGAAATAAGACCTGAATCTGGAAGTTACAAAGGACAAGCTTCAAACAGCAGCAGACTGCAGTAAAATTTCCACGTCCTACCCATTTATGTAAAGAAATGGGACCTTTTCCTGATTAAAATATTTATACACTTGAGATACATTTTTCATGTGTTGATTTACCTTGTTGCTGTATGTTCAAATATCCATCCATCCATCCATCCATCCATCCATCCATTTTCTTCCGCTTTTCCGGGTTCGGGTCGCGGGGGTAGCAGCCTAAGTAGGGAGGCCCAGACTTCCCTCTCACCAGCCACTTGGGCCAGCTCTTCCGGGGGAATCCCGAGGCGTTCCCAGGCCAGCCGAGAAATATAGTCCCTCCAGCGTGTCCTGGGTCTTCCTCTGGGCCTCCTTCTGGTGGGACGTGTCCGGAACACCTCACCAGGGCGGCGTCCAGAAGGCATCCTAAACAGATGCCCAAGCCACCTCAACTGGCTCCTCTCGACGTGGAGAAGCAGCGGCTCTACTCTGAGTCCCTCCCGGATGAACGAGCTTCTCACCCTAACTCTAAGGGAGAGCCCAGACACCCTGCGGAAAAAACTCATTTCGGCTGCTTGTATCCGAGATCTCATTCTTTCGGTCACAACCCAAAGCTCGTGACCATAGATGAGGGTAGGAACGTAGATTGATCGGTAAATTGAGAGGTTTGCCTTTTGACTCAGCTCTCTCTTCACCACGACAGACCTGTACAGTGCCTGCTTCACTGCAGACGCTGCACCTATCCGCCTATCGATCTCACGCTCCATTTTTCTCTCATTCGTGAACAAGACCCCAAGATACTTGAACTCCTCCACTTGGGGTAGGACCTCCTCCCTGACCCAGAGAGGGCACTCTACCCTTTTCCGGCTCAAGACCATGGCCTCGGATTTGGAGGAACTGATCTTCATCCCGGCCGTGTCGCATTCGGCTGCGAACCGCTCCAGCGAAAGCTGTAGATCACGATCTGATGAAGCCAACAAGACCACATCATCTGCAAAAAGCAGAGACGCAATCCTAAGGCCACCAAAACGGATCCCCTCAACACCTTGGCTGCGCCTAGAAATTTTGTCCATAAAAGTTATGAACAGAATCGGTGACAAAGGGCAACCTTGGCGGAGTCAAACACTCACCGGTAACAAGCCCGACTTACTGCCAGTAATGCGGACCAGGCTCTGACACCGGTCATACAGGGACCTAACAGCCCGTATCAAAGGGCCCGGTACCCCATACTCCCAGAGTACCCACCACAGGGTTCCCTGAGGGACGCGGTCGAACGCCTGCTCCAAGTCCACAAAGCACATATAGACCAGTTGGGCAAACTCCCACGCACCCTCCAGGACCCTGCTGAGAGTATAGAGCTAGTCCAGTGTTCCATGGCCAGGACGAAAACCGCACTGCTCCTCCTGAATCCGAGGTTCGACTATCCGACGGACCCTCCTCTCCAGAACCCCAGAATAGACCTTACAAGGGAGGCTTAAGAGCGTGATTCCCCTGTAGTTGGAACCCACTCTATGGTCCCCCTTTTTGAATAGGGGGACCACCACCCCGGTCTGCCAATCCAGGGGAACTTCCCTCGATGTCCACGCAATATTGCAGAGTCGCGGAAGCCAACACAACCCTACAACATCCAAAGCCTTAAGGAACTCTGGGCGAATCTCATCCAACCCTGGGGCCCTGCCACCGAGGAGCTTTTTAACCACCTCGGTGACCTCAGCAACAGAGATTGGAGGGCCCGACCCAGAGTGCCCAGGCTCCACTTCCTCAGTGGAAGACGTGCCGGTGGGATTGAGGAGGTCTTCAAAGTATTCCGTCCACCGACCCACAACATCCCAAGTTGAGGTCAGCAGCACACCACTCCCAATATAAACAGTGTTGGTGGTGTCCCGCTCCCCCCCCCCCCCCCCGAGACGCCGGATGGTGGACCAGAATCGCCTCGAAGCCATGCGGAAGTCATTCTCCATGGCCTCTCCGAACTCCTCCCATGCCAGTTTTTGCCTCAGCGACCATCCGAGCCGCATGTCGCTTGGACTGCCAGTACCCATCAGCTGCTTCCGGGGTCCCACAGGCCAAAAAGGCCCGATAGGACTCCTTCTTCAGCCTGACAGCATCCCTCACCGACGGTGTCCACCATCGGGTTCGAGGGTTGCCGCCGCGACAGGCACGACAACCATGCGGCTGCAGCTCCGGTAAGCTGCCTCGACAATAGAGGCACGAAACATGGTCCACTCAGACTCAATGCCCCCCACCTCCCTAGGAACATGTTTTGAAGTTCTCCCGGAGGTCGGAGTTAAAACTCCGTCTCACAGGAGACTCTACCAGCCGTTCCCAGCAAACCCTCACAATACGTTTGGGTCTGCCAGGTCTGACCGGCATCCTCCCCCACCATCGGAGCCAACTCACCACCAGGTAGTGATCAGTGGACAGCTCCGCCCCTCTCTTCACCCGAGTTTCCAAGACATGTGGCCACAGATCAGATGAGACGATGACAATGTCAATCATCGAACTGCGGCCTAGGGTGTCCTGGTGCCAAGAGCCCATATGGACACCCGTATGCTTGAACAAGGTGTTCATTATTGACAATCCATGACGAGCACAGAAATCCAACAACAGAACACCACTCTGGTTCAGATCAGGGGGGGCCGTTTCTCCCAACCACACCCCTCTAGGTCTCACTGTCATTGCCCACGTGAGCATTGAAGTCCCCCAGCAGAACAAGGGAGTCCCCAGGAGGTGCACTTTCCAGTACTCCCTCCAAGGACTCCAAAAAGGGTGGATAATCTGAACTGCCGTTTGGTGCATAAGCACAAACGACAGTCAGAACCCGTCCCCCCACACGTAGGTGGAAGGAGGCCACCCTCTCATTCACCGGGGTAAACCCCAACACACAGGCACCAAGTTGGGGGGCAATAAGTATGCCCACTCCTGCTTGGCGCCTCTCACCAGGGGCAATTCCAGAGTGGAAGAGTGTCCAGCCCCTCTCAAGGAAACTGATTCCAGAGCCAGAGCCATGCGTAGAGGTGAGTCCGACTTTTCTAGCTGGAACCTCTCAGCCTCACACACCAGCTCAGGCTCCTTCCCCACCAGTGAGGTGACATTCCACGTCCCAATAGCCAGCTTCTGTAGCAGAGGATCAGACTGCCAGGGTCCCCGCCCTCGGCCACCACCCATCCTACATTGCACCCGACCCCTTTGGCCCCTCCCACAGGTGGTGAGCCCATGGGAAGGGGGACCCACGTCTCCTCTTCGGGCTGTGCCCGGCCAAGCTCCATGGTTAAAAGCCCAGCCACCAGGCTCTTGCCCGCTTGCCCCACCTCCAGGCCTGGCTCTAGAGTGCGGCCCCGGTGACCCACGTCCGGGCAAGGGAACATTAAGTCTGTTTATTTCGCTCATCATCGGGGTCTTTGGGCTACACTTTGTCTGGTCCCTCACCTAGGACCTGTCTGCCATGGGTGACCCTACTAGGGGCGTAAAGCCCCTGAGAGCATAGCTCCTAGGATCATTGGGACACTCAAACCCCTCCACCACAGTAAGGTGGCAGCCCAGGGAGGAGTAAGGTGTTCAAATATTGAACAGTAATTTTCAAAATACATTTAGTTTTATTATTTGAGGCTTAGAAAAAGTGTTTTATTGCACTATGTCTGACAACATGACATCTTGTTAGTGAGTTACGAGGGTGTTTGAGATGGTATTTTCATATTGAATGTATAGTCCCAACTTCCCTAGACTCCAAAAACACAACTTTGCAACGCTGACTTCACTTGTGGACAATGGAAGATAATGTAGTTACTCTGTCCGTCTTTATGTTGCTGGTCTTGACCAGCTGACACATTACTCACCTTTTAAACAATACAGTATTCATTTCTTATCTACACTTCATGTTTTCAAAAACCATGTGAAAGCCAGATAATTGATTCAATTTCCAGGTGATTTAGTGTAAAGTACATCACACAAGTAGATGAAAAAAATATTGCTATAGAAATTAATATAAATATTCTGCTTTTGCTTATCTACTAACCATTAAGTGCTGCTTTTTCAGTGACCACAAATCCACAGGGACAAAACATAGTTTACCCTACTTTGGTTCATGTGACATTAGCGGCCGTCACAAAAACACCTCAGGATCATGACTCTGATGTACCAGTGCCCACGGCATCCATTCCAGAGGGAACAGAAGATCAGGGGGCTAAGGCCACAGCTGAAGTAAAGACTGATAAACCTATTGAAAAACCAGAGACTCCAGTACCTGATCCTCCCAGAGGCGACAACTCAAACAAACCAAAGGTAGGGCAAATGATGGTGTAACGTTAATCTGTGTGACATCAGACAAAGTCCTTTCAAGAACACTTTTAAACCAGGTCTGACTTGCTCATGTGGTACACGCGTTGAGCGCAACCAGGCATGAGGTACGCGCTCTTTACACTTGTCACTTGATTGATTTCAAGACAAGACTGGTCACAGGACACACTGGTAGCACCTTCTTAAAAAAAATAATCAATGTTGTAATTTAAACAAACAGAAGCAGGTCAGGGCCATGTCACTGTGCTTACAGACATCAGGTCAGTATCACAGACCCACCTAGGTGAAAACAACATTGTTGGTTAATGAGGCAAGCTCCGCCCCCATCCCTAACTATGCACAAACAAGCATATTCAGCTCTATGACTACCATGTTTTGTGGCTCGGAGGCATAACATTTTAAGCTCACAGTTCAACCTTCGTATTTTCCCATACAGTATGATGATAACTTTGGTAACAGTTGCTGTTTTAAATGCTTTATATAAATAAATCTGACTTGACATGAATAATGCCCGATGAAGGCTTACGAGGCACTGCTGGAGGGTTAATGTTTTAAAAGACTATAGATGTGATGCCAACCAAACAGATATTTGTAAGCATTATGAATGTAAACAATCTTCACATTAAGTATCAATTCTTTTATAGTCAATATGGTGCAACCAATGTGTAAAGAGGACTTTCTGTATAGCGAACATGTGAGGGTACTACCAATATGCTATGCCGTAACTGAAGGATGCATTAGACAGCAAAATATAAATATGTCAATAACAAATTACTGGTACTTCTTGAAAGTTAATTCACTTATGAAACTTTAAAACTATCCAAAAAAAAAAAAAAAGTAAGCAAACTTTGGCATCTGTAACACTCACAATGCATTTAAAGTGCTAGGATACAAGATAGAAGCAGTGCTAGGTTTGGCTATGGGAGTAGTAAAATGTGATAGGGTGTATTAATGACTACAGACCAGCAAATAAGTTTAAAACTGCTGGCATATTATTTAAAACAAACAAACAAAAAAAAAACATTACAAACAAACATACCACTTAATACAAAATTCAATATAAAACATTTTCCAATCCATCCATCCATTTTCTTCCGCTTATCCAGGGTCAGGTCGTGGGGGTAGCAGCCTAAGTAGGGAGGCCCAGACTTCCCTCTCCCCAGCCACTTGGTCCAGCTCCTCCAGGGGAATCCCGAGGCGTTCCCAGGCCAGCCGAGAAACATAGTCCCTCCAGCGTGTCCTGGGTCTTCCTCTGGGTCTCCTCCCTGTGGGACATGTCCGGAACACCTCACCAGGGAGGCGTCCAGGAGGCATCCTAACCAGATTCCCGAGCCACCTCAACTGGCTCCTCTCGATGTGGAGAAGCAGCGGCTCTACTCTGAGTCCCTCCTGGATGATCAAGTTTCTCACCCTATCTCTAAGGGAGAGCCCAGACACCCTGCGGAGAAAACTCATTTCGGCCACTTGTATCCGAGATCTCGTTCTTTTGGTCACAACCCAAAGCTCATGACCATAGATGAGGCTGGGAACGTAGATTGATTGGTAAATTGAGAGCTTTGCCTTTTGACTCAGCTGTCTCTTCACCACGACAGACCTGTACAGTGCCCGCTTCACTGCAGATGCCGCACCTATCCGCCTATAAATCTCATGTTCCATTTTTCCCTCATTCGTGAACAAGACCCCAAGATACTTGAACTCCTCCACTTGGGGCAGGACCTCCTCCCTGACCCAGAGAGGGCACTCTACCCTTTTCTGGCTCAAGACCATGGCCTTGGATTTGGAGGAACTGATCTTCATCCCGGCCGTGTCGCACTCAGCTGCGAACCGCTCCAGTGAAAGATTGCTAACTATACAACAATAGGAAAAAGCCTAAAAAAAGTTTTCTAGATTATCTGTCATAAAGAACATTTATTTTCCAATTCTTTATGTGGTCCTTTGATTGCTTTAAACGCCTTGATGTGGCCTTTTGGATAAAAAAAAAAGTTGCCCACCTCTGCCTAAAGGTGAGAAGATGCTATGAGATAAAAGACACTGGTTTCTCTTTGCAGCCAAGGCCTAACCAAGATGTTGTCTGCGTGAGCAAAGAGGATGTGGAGGGAAAAAATGCTGTCCAACTGATTCTCAAGGCTTCTTCCGACTGTGTAAGTCTTAAAAGCTTTATGTTTGGATCTCACATGCAGAATCTGCTTCTATATGATATAGAATAATAATGTTTTAAGGGCAGAATAAAAGAACAAAAGGATCATATGATTTGTTATCATCCTGGATTACAATACCTGCACATCTTGTCCTTAAGCCCCCAGTATACTGCCGCGTACATCCATACGCAGAGGTACGCACGTACGTACGCAGAGGTACGTGCGTACCCCCCAGCGTACCCTCCGTGCAAAGCTCACATTTTTACGACCGCATACGCGGTATTGCACAATAAACTGCCCAGCGACAGACTGTTTTGTATGCGTCACCCATGTATTAAATGCCCCTTTTTCATCTCTGATCTGGCCTTTTCTTTTGTATTTTTGCCAAGAGGCAGTGATCTCTTCCTCCTACGTCGATGCAATGACTGAAATGGTGAGAAATGGAGGAATTTGTCACGAGCTAATTAAACTCAGGTCCAGCATGGCTGCGGGAGAGTCTAGAGATTTCCTGGTGGGCTGGTCTGATGTGTGGGCTGTAGAGTCAGCGCTCTCTGTTTTTTAAAATTTTCTTAGATCTTTTTATTAACAACATATAAACACAGAACACCGCTGCGTAAACGCCCCTCGTCTGTGAAGCTGCTCTGCAGCTGCTCGGGGTGTACGCTAGAGTATCATGTCTGAACCCTCTGCGTACAGTACATGCGTACGTACGCGTGAACGGACATACGCGGCAGTATACTGGAGCCTTTACACTCACAAAACAACAGAGATATGGCAGAACAGCCCTAGCTTTGTTTGTCATTCCCATTTGCTTATCAATCTAATAAACTTAGGATAGACAAATTACATTATTTTCCCTCATTTCTGAAGCAGTAAAATTAGACAAGCCATAAAGAACCAGTGAGGCTGTGTCTACCTGCAGTCCGAGAGCTGTTTTCGATATATACTGTACAGTAAACACAGGGGATTGGACTGCAGTGTGAGGTAGAGGAAGGGCAGCACATTGGTTGGGCTCACTGCTCCTGCAGAATGTGTAATGTTTAATAGCCTGAGGCAGCATTGTGGATGTGTGTGTGTGTGTGTGTGTGTCCTTGTTTATGCTACTTTGTGAGGCCCATTTTTCCAACTTATACTACATTGTGAGGACCAACTGCTCCTTATGGGGCCCAAAGCCCGGGCCCCATAAGAAGAAGTCCCGTTGGTGGGTTAGGGGCTAGGTTTAGGACTAAGGTGTGAAATGAGGATGTGTTAGGTTTAGGGTTAGGTATGTACTGGTAATGGTTAGGTTATGGATAAAGGTCATGGTTAGGCTATAGAAATGAATGAAAAATGAATGGAAGTCAATGCAAAGACCCCACAAAGATAGCAAAACAAACCTGTGTGTGTGTGTGTGTGTCCTTGTTTATGCTACTTTGTGAGGCCAATTTTTCCAACTTATACTACATTGTGAGGACCAACTGCTCCTTATGGGGCCCAAAGCCTGGGCCCCATAAGAAGAAGTCCCGTTGGTGGGTTAGGGGCTAGGTTTAGGACTAAGGTGTGAATTGAGGATGTGTTAGGTTTAGGGTTAGGTATGTACTGGTAATGGTTAGGTTATGGATAAAGGTCATAGTTAGGCTATAGAAATGAATGAAAAATGAATGGAAGTCAATGCAAAGGCCCCACAAAGATAGCAAAACAAACCTGTGTGTGTGTGTGT